ATGCCTGACGGGCAAACAGACCAGACAGCGCAGGCTTGCACGGTTTGCCTTCGCCCGTGACACTTACTTTGTGATGTGGCTGCCAAACAACCTGTGTAGGTCTACGTGCCCAACTTGACCAAGCATCGCTCTCCATAGACGTGTGAGTGCAAGGGTTTGGAAACGGCCTCAGCCGTTGCAGCATGCCAACCCAAGGTTGAACCCCTGCCGTCAAGTTGCGGTCTAAGCAGTTCGGCAGCTTGGCCAGGCATGACCCACCTCAGACATGTCGGCGCTAACACTGGCAGGTCTCTTACGAACACGATCTGATGAAGAAAACATATCCGGATCAACATGCTTCCACACCGTGACAGAAACGGAGAGCCTGAAATGGTGGGCACGTGCGCAGCAGGATGCATTTCCTGTTGGTTGCACAACACGACAGACCGAAGAACAGCACCTACAGGACTATGCCTCCAACATACAGGGAGCTTGCTGTCATGAGACATCCTTCATGCCAAGCTGCTTAATGGTCCCGGCATCGAATGACACCTCAAGTTCACGGCAGCGAGATGTCAGGAGAGAGTGCCCACTTCTCACGCTTACGGGTAAGTGACTTAAAGCACGTGAGTAACAGGCAGCGACGAAGCTTGTCGGATGCAATTCATCACAGCCAAGTTGGGCAGTTTAATCAAGTTTGGTAGTTCAATCTCGTCAACGCACTCCCTGCCGGACCTTCACGGTGCCAGCTGGAACCGCGAAGCCTTCGGCTTGGCACGCCGTGGGAAAAGCCTGGCACAGGTCCAAGAAGGGTGTCGGAGAAAGACATCAAATCTGTCCGGGCTCCAATCCTTGGCGCCTTGGCGCAGAAAGCTACGCTCATCCGACATGAGCTCTCTTCTGCACATGGATCTACTAGCTGGGAAGCATCCATCCTAGGACGACCCAGAACCATCCTCAAGTCGCCAGACGCCAGCCACCCAACCTTGACCCATTCATCCCATGCTGACAAGTGGAGCGACCTCCAGCACCTGTCCATCCCGCCAGCTTTTCTTCGAGTTGCTCCAGACCTGCAGGTTCTGGCCAGATGAGAAGGCAAAGGCAACCAACGTAGTGCAGCATCAAGGTCTCTTATCTTGCTTCCGTTTTCATGTCGAAGTCAAGGTCACACAAACAAGGCACCTGGAGCTGCACACCCTTTTGGAACGGAACGGCGACGGCAGCCGATTTGCTCGAGCTGCTTGATGTGGCCTCATGAGAGACGCTGCCGGGATCTGCCGGGTCCGGAAAGGTAAACTGGCAAGACGGGAACGCCTAATTATGGCTCTGGTCTGTGAGGAGCATATCATCTCTTTTGAACTCTCCCCTTTTTGCGGCACCGAAACCTCCACCACCCATACAGGCCACTACCCTTTCTGCTCTCGCCTGCGCAGCTTCCTCGGAGTTCGGGCGGGAGACAGCAGAGTTCGCATCCCCTGGCCGCTGGCTCCTCAGTGGGCACTGCCACTGCTTTCTCTTGACATGAGCTGCTTGTCAAACCGGCCGCGATCTTCACATCTGTTACATAAGTCCACTTTCAATCGGCATAGCATACATAAGACAAGTCCCTGCTTCTGGATTCGCCTAGAGAAACAAGCCATGCAGCTGCAGCAGGAGCATGACTGCCATCAGGGACTTCAAGCTGCTCTCAAATGGAAACTGGCTTCGTTACGTTGCAGTTGCCGAACTCAAAGGAGACATGAAACGTCTACGACTGTATCAGCCTACAACTTACAACTGAGGCGGAAGCCAGAAGCCTCATGTCAACTGCAAAGAAGGAGACAAGACGACAATAGAAATTCAAGAACTTGGCAATGCAGGCAGATCAGGCATACAATCATGAAGCGCTGAAGAGGAGGATTCATGGCCAGAGGTTCCTTCACTAGATGATGCTGCTCGCCTTTGCAATAAATGACCGGCCACAAAAGGATCGGCTCGAAACTGTGAGCATGACATACCTCGGTCCGATGACCGGTGAGTCGGAGCGCTTTCAGCTAAGACTCCCCTCTGCGTGACGCGAGGATGTGCCAGCACTGGTCGTCGGCCTTTCATGGATACATGCCTGTATGTTGCCACTTACCTGCAGCATGAAAATAGGGCGTCTTGGAGGTGCCATGGACGATTCTACGATCCAGCGTCGCCAAGAGTTCCTACGAACTTCAGGGAGATGTCGAAAAGACGAAGTGCGTAATGGCGTAATGCAGCCAAGGTGCGTGGAATCTGGTTGATAGCCCGTTGGGTGGTCGCTTGCACCTCCGGACAGGAGCTGTGCTTGGATTAGGAAGTCGGGGTTGGCAGTTGAAGGTTAAAAACTCAGCCAACCAGTCTCCGGGATCGCGCTAGTGTTGTCTCGGAAAGTGCCCACGTGAACGCGAACTGCCGAAGAAGCGCCCGCAAACCCGAACTGCACTACAAGGAACCACGTTGATGCAAGACCCATCCCAGAAACACCAAACCGAACCGTCTTTGTTTGACAGAAGGTTCTGAAAAATGAGACTACACAGTGAGGCCTGGCTTGGCTGGCGTCTGCCTCGTAGCCTGGCGACTGTGCCATGAAGTCTCAAACAAAGTCGTCAGCCAACTCGTTGCTGTTGCTGCAGGTGTAGTCAGGCTTTAACATAGCGCGCACTGAACAATTATGACCCCAGCTTTTTCAAGATCGTGCTGGCGAAACCTACATGCATACCACAGGATCCATTGCAGATTCCAGCTCTGACTTGGACCACTTGGACCCAGAGTCCGCAGCCGCCCATTTGCCCCTCCCCTCCCATCGGTGACACCGTCAGCACGGCTGGAGACGAACCAAGATAAGTTTTACTCGCCCTTCTGCGGCATCAGGAGGCGCCCGGCACCATCTAACAAAAATATCTATTCAGCAGATACTTGCATGTGTCAAGCCGTGATCCAGTTTCGAGTCGGAGGCCATGGAATCAGAAGAAAGCAGAATTTCGGTTCTTTGGGTTGGCAGGCGTTTTGCCATGGGTTGTCGGTGCCCCTTTCATGGCACCGCCGGAGCGCTATGCAAACGCTACTCGTGCATGCGGGGGATGATTGTTTGTGGGTGGCCGCCTACTCATCGGGAGCAAAGATCAACTAGCACTTGATTGTGCATTTCAACCTGGGGGTCCAAGAGTTTCGGGTTGGAGGTGCCGTTGCTCTGACAATTTTGGACATGGTTGCTTCCCATGTCGGAGAGCGACAAAGCCGCCACAACATCGTCAACGAGCGAAGCCAAAGTCAGGCCCCAATCTCGCTGAAACAGCTCCGTCAGCCCTACATCCCAACCATCCCAATCTCCGTTTCATGACTTTGAGCTTCGGGAAGCGCTTTTTTTGGGGCCTCATTCATGGCCACGCGGTCCGCCATGGTAGGCCTGACGTCGCGACACCAAACCGGAATCGCAGAGATCGATTATAACAAATTAAATACAATACAATATAAGATCATACAATATACTATAATATAATAGAATATTACATTTTATTTTATAATAATACAACACAGAGCCATTTGCACCTGGCCTCGGAGACGGCTGCTGTGCAGCTGGAGCCGCCGGGGCCTGCTCTTGAGCGGCATAGCAGTGAATTGGCTTTGGAGCTGCCGTAATCCCTTCCCGCTATTATTAAACCCCCCCCCTAATATTAAAACTCGGATTTGGGGGTTCGGTTTTAATATTAGGGGGGTTTTGGGTGGTCCGGGTCCGGTCACAACACGACCGTCCACGCAGCCGTTGCGGCTGCAGACAGTCAGCCTGTCTTGCTTGGCCAGACCCAGGCAGGACACGAGAATCGGACAGGCAGTCTCAGAAGTGATTGATTGCTGCTTTTGTCAGGCCATTTTGGCCAGACAAGGACAGGACAGGAGCATCAGTCGACTCATTTCCTTCCAGTCAACCAGTGGTGCAGGACCAAGCATGGACGCTGCAGGGCAAGCCCTGCAGGGAATGTCGCAGACAGACAAGGACCGGTTCAGAGCGAATGCTGTTTGTGCGATTTACCTGTGTTTTGCAGGACAGTCTTCTGCAACAGCTGTTGAAGCAGCCAGCTCTCCTGACGCAGCATGTCTGTGCCCCAGCAGCAGAAAGGCCGGCTTCTCAGGCAGTCGCTCGGGAGCAGGCACCGGCACAAGCAGTTGTTGTAACTGAACAGCCAGTGCTCAGGCAGGCCTCCTCTTGTCTCGGCAGCCAGACAACCAGTCAGCGGCTGATGCAAAAAACAACTGCAGCCCTAGTGCAGACACCCAGCCCCCAATAACAACGCCCCCAAATAATAAAACTCCAAACCCCAAGCCCCTAAACCCTAAACCAACCCTAAATCCTAAACCGGAATAACAACCCCCCCAAATATTAAAACTCCAAACCCTAAACCCCTAAGCCCTAAACCCTAAACCCTGAACCCTCAACCCTAAACCCTAAGCCTTAAACCCTCAACCCTAAACCCTCAAACCCTAAGCCCCAAGGCCTAAACCCTAAACCCTCAAACCCTCAACCCTAAAGCCTTAAATCCTAAACCCTAGAGCCCAAAGCCCTAAGCCCTAAGCTTTAAACCCTAAAGCCTTAAACCTTCAAATCTTAAGCCCTGAGCCCTTGANNCCCTAAACCCCTGGTCCTTTGGTTTACTACTACTGTAGTCTTGGTTCTATTAAAACTCATACAATCCGTAGGCCCCCCCTAATATTTTTAATCAACTTTCAATTGCGGGCCCGAAACCGCAAAATCCCCGGGGCCGGCAGTTTTATTATTAGGGGGGGGTTTAGTAAACGCGGGAAGGGATTATGCATCCGGGCAACTTGGGCTGGAGCTGCCGGAAAGAAGAACTGATCCGACTCCTGAGTGATCTGAACAGACAAGCTACTCTTTGCAGGGCTTGCAAAACATGTACACCGTACACTCGCCACCTACCATCAGGCACGGTTGAAACCCTACCAAGGGCATTGAATTTGGGGCATCTGCACACCGAGGATGCCCGATAGTTTCGAAACCTCTATGAATGCACGGCGACTAGGCCTGCTGCGTCCCTAAACACCACCTTGAAACCACCGCACAAACACGATCTGCTTAAGTCCCAAGAGGCGCTGATGAGGGAGGGATACCGGAAGGCTTGCCGAGCACTCTCAGCCTCCGTTGTTTTTCAGAGGCGCAGCTGTCGTGTCAAGAGATGCGAATACGATACACGACCTTCCACCCATGCAGCTCCGACGCTTGTTAAACTGCGGTCTTCTGAATGCAAGGGTTTCCTAGGAGGCAGCCGCGCGCCTCGGCAATGAATTGCTCCACCATCATCACCTGGCCTTCTGGGTCTGTGTCGATGTCATTCAGCACCCCCTGCTTGCGGCTCGGGGGTCCCCCCGTTTAACGACTTCCAACTGCATGCTGTTCTGCAAGCGCACAGCGCACGAAAGCCTGCATGTATTCGCGAAAGACGCTGAACGGCACGGGCTTCCCGTTTGCATCCAGGTGCTCTCTGAAGACGCCTTTGTACTTCCTTGGAGGTCATGCTGGACTTGCTACTGTATCAACTGTATCGATTCAGGTTCAAGCATAAAGTCCAGCTTGTTGCAGTTCAGGGATTCTGGTGTATCAGGCATGCCTAGCTATGCCAACCCCCCCACCACTCAAAGCAAAAACACACGGGCCCCGATGTCTGGGATTGCCAGTGCTCGGTTCGTTGCGTGCACTTCGACTTCGGGACAGACTTCGCAGCCGCGACTCTCCCGAATGGCTTCTTTGTTGGTCTCTGCCTTGCCATAGTGGAGCAAGGACACCTTCCAAAACATCTGTGAAGTAACGAAAACAACTCCGAGCCTTCTCTGACCTCATTAACTTGACTCTAAAGCTCGGTTCGAAGGATGGCAGATTCCAGAGGAGCCTTCTCGTTCATCTTGATGAGCTCGTCCTGTTTGATCCGGGCTCGTTTGACGGGGCAACTGCTTTGGCCAAAGGCACTTCCGAGCAGAATTGCCACTATAGTCGCAGCGCCATGATCTCGCCTCCTCTAGAACGCCATTGGCTTTGAGGTCGTGGAGCTCGAACCTCAAAATGTGCATGGCGACAAATTATGACCAGCTTGTCAAAACCAACCCCGATTCATCCCTGTTGTCAGTATTTTTACCGGACAGAAGAGTGCATGAACAAAGCGACTAATTACTGCATCCAAGCTGCAGCTGCTGCAGCAAAGTTTGCACGCGCTCTCGCGCCGCAGCTGACGCAGCTTCGCTTCTGAGGCCAAGTTGAGTTCGATTCTTACAAGGGGTGTACAACTTTGCGAAGCCGTCTTGTTGTATATATATATATATATATGACTCTTGATCCTCACACCGCACACCACATGTGCCGAAATGGGCGTGATCTCGAGCAGCAGTGCTCGGCAGATCTTTGAGAACGACGACGCAGGAAAGTTTGTGGCTTCAGGCACTTCTTTCTGTGAGTTTGATGCTTTCAACCTGGAGCTGCCTGGAGCTGGCCGGCGGGGAGACATGGAGGGTGTGCTCCGGCCTCTGCAAACTTGGTTTTGGTGCGTTGGGCACGGGCTTCAGGTATAGTTTACCAAGAACTATGAGCTTCGCAAGACACGGGCTGGGCGGGAGGAAACAGCTTCTGGACGCATTTAGGCAGCCCACCACGTCACCCATGCCACTGCACCCAAGCCAAGCTGAGGCATGGACAGTTTCGCCGGAGCGCCCAAAAGCTTATTCGCCACTTCGGTCTTTGCCTGCCTGCCAGGTCACTGCTGCCAGCTGTTGTGGTCATGAGACTGTCATGTATAAGATCAAGATGCTGTCATGCTATCTGCCTCAGCTGCTGGAGGGTAATGGCATCTTGCTCCACCGGAGATCGCTGCGGCTCCGCCGGAGGCTTCCCAAGCATCTGCACATGGATGGAGTTCTGTTGCATCTTGACTTACGATGGCCGGCGTAAGTTCTGCACATGTCACGGCTGCAAGCCTTGCCTGGGCAGCCTCGCCGTAGCGCGCTGCCCAGGCACCAATGGCCTCTGCCCACTGCAGAGACGACAACTGATGACACTCTCTGTATACCTAGCAGCTGCCTGCAGCTCCGGTTTAGGTGATGCTGGTTCATCTTGGATAGATGCACTTGTTTGCTATTTCGGGCATCTGCCTAAGCTGTGCCGAAGTGTGTCGACAGAAGACTCACCCGGAGGCTTGAGGCCAGAAGCAACTGTGACGGTTAGCAGCGATGTTGCAAAGGCTGGCACGGCAGGAGTTGGCCTTTCTTGGTACATCGTTCAAGCTGCACGTTGCCTGATGACTGAGCCCAAGCAATGCCCAGCAACATTCCCCTCAGACTAAATAAGTCAGACATCACAAGGATCCGATTCTTGGCCCTCGTGAATTCGCCCCAAAATTCTGAAATTCTGAAGTCTTGACCTGGAAATCCTTAGACCGAACCTGTCCATTCTCCGGGCTTCTCGAGAATCTGGCCTGCGCGTTGGGGAGGGAGCAGTGGCAGCAAGTTCTCTGTGTTTCGGGTTTAGCAGGCTGCAGCTTCGACTTGTAGCCCTTTGTCCACCTTTCTGTCTTGGCTCAGACAGGCGTAGCTGCACAACCATCACGGTTCTAAAACGGTTGCAACCGAAACCCGATGAAATGGTGCCCCACAAGAGCTCCTACCGACATGAAACATGATAAAGTCGTCACGTCAACTTCCTATACTCCAGCATGTGAATTCTTGAAAGGTCTGCATAAACCCCTGGCAAGTACAATGTGCTGCTGTTGTTTGTCCTGTCTCCAGCGGTCTGGGTGAGTATGCAACACACCCAAACACATGGCCTCTTCCCGGTATTGTGCCGACAGGTCTGCAAGCGTCTGTTGCAGCGCCGTGTCTGCAGCCACCGCGCGGTCGCATTGCTGTTTCAGGGCAATGGCCTGATCGTTTGCAGCAAAAAGAAGTGCGATTCAGAGTTGGCGAGTGGCACTGACATGAATGGCATTTAAAGCTACCAACAATGGCCGAGCTACTTTCGAGGAGTTCCACTTGTGGACCTACCATGGCCACTCCCCCCAACTCCTGTGCTGCCTTCAACGTACAGGGTATAAATTTGCCCATGTACGCCCGGATAATTAAACCTTAAGCTATACCCCGTCTACTCATTAGATCTCACAGCATGTCGAAGGTGCTATATAACTGCTTGTCGCACAAGAGACGGGCAATTACAATCGCAGCGATGGCACTCCAGGCTGTAGTGTGAGATCTTCAGGCTGAACTGGAACGAATTGAATTGTGGATGCGACGTTCCACAAACGAAAGTCCGGCATTTGGATTCCAGCAGACAGCCCGACGCTGTGGCCAGCTTAGCTGTGGAATCGTAGTCATATATTATGTCATTGCCATATAGTATAGTCGTTAAGGCTGCTTTTCATCCAGGTGTCGGTAGTACATGCACCACTTTGTTGAAATAGCATTCTTCGCATCACAGACCTCAACAAAACAACACATTCCGCCGTAGCAGGCTAGTCAGCCCGCAAAACTGGGCATCGTTAGCAGGCATCGTAGGCGTGGAGATGTTGGGCATTGTGAGCCATGTGCTTCCTCCAGTTTGAAGCTGCGGCACTTCACTAGCGTTGTGAGAGTCGGTAGACTTGTTATAATAAGTCACTGCAGATCGAGGCCCTGCCACAGGACAAGGGTTAGCCTCCTGCGCTGGCGTTCCGCTGTCCAGGAGACTGCGGCCAGCAAATGCCACCTGAGGTCGCATGGCCAGGGAACAAGACTCCAAATAAGATCCAGAGGCGCTAGGACTTAGAGAGACGGAAGGAGACGAGGCCGGCAAGCGCCGAACACCAGGCTGCTGTCTGTCTTGAGCTTACATCTCCAAAAACTAAGTAACAGGTTGAGGCACGTCTGCTCGCTCCACTGCCTTTTCGTATCCAGCTTTTGCGTACCTGGGACAGAATATCCTAAGACCCCATTTCGGGAGTCGGAGCACTCGAGCTTCAAATCTTGCGTCGTGCGTAACTTGCTGCTTGGGATATTCCGTGAAGCCATGTTCACTTAGCTTCGCTCAGGAATGTGATTAGTTATCCAGCTTCCAGTCAAGCAGCTCTGTGGCCAGTGTCAGGCCGCGCTGCGTCTGCCGCTTCAGCCAGTTGGAAATGACCTGCCCCAAGAGCTACGATGCAAAGAAAGAACAGGTTACAAACAGGTTTTGCTTAACTTGGCAGGCGAAATAGCGTCTCGCTGTGTTGCAGTATGACAGTGGAAGGGACAGCCAAGCCTCCTTGGCAGTCTTGACATCGCACGCGTTGTCTGTAGTGCTCTATACAGCATCTCGCGCAGCTTTGCACGATCATCTTGGGAAACCGCAGTAATGCTTCGGCAACTGCCCTCTGCCGTCCGTCACCACTGTTCCAACTGGGCAACTGGGATCCATCTCGAGGCCTAGAGCTCATTTCAGCTCAGGCCTCGCCGGGAGCAAGATCACGTTCATCGAGCCAGCCGTTCCAGACATTCTGCGCCTTCTTCGCAGGGGTCGAAGAACCTCAGATTCTCCACGGCCGACTCCCCGCCCCAGCCTGGTCCGATTTTGAGAAGGTTATCCCACCGCCACCAGTATGCTGATTTAGACAATTAAGGGAACACTGCCATAAACCGCTCTTCCCCCCCCCCCCCCTCCCCCCCGCATCGAGCCGACTCCAATGCCATCTGAGGCACACATCAGGCTGATCTCGGGCTAAGGCGGCCTTGTGCTTGGCTCATGGGCCGCAGGCTGTTCCTGTACCCTGAATGCACAATGCACCCGCTGGGCTGTGAAGTGCTAAACAGCGGCTAGCTCGCTAGACCTTGGATCTTTTAGAAGTCCGGAAGAGTCCGGAAGAACATGAACATTGAAGGGGAATGACGGGGACAGATGTCAATGGGGAGTGGGGAAGGAGGGCTAGGTGAGCGTGCAAGGCATGCTACAGGGGTGGTTGAGGCTGGTTCTCTGACTCAAGCTCGGCTTGTCTGCAATGCTGCGGCAAGCATGCAGACCTGCTTCCTGATTCTGATGCGTAGTGATGGGTTGTATTGCACCTGTGCATCCAATGACCAAGAACCCCCAAGCATATTTGCGAATTTGGCAGGTCCAAACTGAGTCGCCGAGGAAGTCGCCGGCGAACTGCCTCCTAGGCCTGCTTCTACGCATAGTCCTGCGGTTTGTGTATAGTCTGTGACAAGCTGTCGTGGCAAGTTTGACGAAAGAGACTGAAGGATGTCTGGCGACTTCCAGCACCTGCACTCAAGAAGTGGGTGAAATCCTCGTAGACAGCCCTGGGCAGCATGAAGAGGCCGCCCAAATGGGCACAAGAGAGCAGCTATGCACAAATAAGTCTGTTCTGGACAGCGAATCCCACAAAGGGAACTTGGGAACTCAGGAGCTGAGCAATGAGGTCACCAGGATCAATGAACCGACGCCCGCGGCACCGATCCAAATCCTGCTGACAAGCGTCGCTCGCAGCCACAGGTGGCCACAGTGAGATCGGAGCAGGGATTTGAAGGACATCCATGATCTAGCACCGCCGGTCTTACAGCCAGTTCTGGACCCTTACAACACATAGCTTCCGCCAGCAACTGCACCAAAAAAGTCACATGAGTCACATGCATCATCCCGGAGCCTGCGCTTCAGCCGCGCGCTGAAATTGTATCCTCGTCCACTCAAGACTGCACTTGGATGCTGTGCGGTTCTGAGCCCGTCGTGCCGTGTACGCAAAAAAAAACCTATACAGTATGACCTCAACACCATCATTTGAAAATTGCACCCTCTTCTCCGAAAATCCTTTCTGTGAGGCTACTTGTCCCGACAGGTGAAGTCCACCACTTCCTGAAGCGACCTGCGCATTCCATGCACTTCCATGCCAGGGCACTGTCTGTGTACTCGATCTCCTCTCTTCCGCGCTCAATGTCGGCAGAGGCTCGGGCCTCCATGTGAGGCAAAAGCCATTGAGCTCCACACTGGAAAGATTGGATTTAGGGTTCATGTCGGTGCTTCCAAGAAAGCCGAGAGTGGTGAAAGACTGTTTGGTGGGTGTTCGGCGTGTCGCCTGCACCGCCAGCTGTCGACCCGGTTTTTGGGGTTGTTGCAGCCATCATGCCACGACTCCTCGTCGGAGGTGCTCACCACAGGTTCCCCACCCCACCTCTGCTGGGCAGTAAGGCCCTGGCCATGTGACTCTCCAGAGTATCGAAGCTGGAGGCTTGTTCTTCGGCGGCTGTCGCCTTAGACTCAAGTGGCATGGGGTGGGATCACCAAGAGCTCGGGCTGAAGCTCTCTTAAGACGGCCAAGTGCAAGCAGGGATGCCAGATCCGTGTAGATGCGTTGCAAGCAAAGCATATCCTGTACACATTCATCTTGTGGTGACCGTGACCATGCATCCCAACGGCCTACGGTTCCGGGCCTGGGTAGCATACATCACCAGTCAAACCCCTACATGTATTAACTGGCTGCGCTAACCGCAGCGCAAAACGAGGTCGGTCCTCATCCACTTTTCGCAGAGTCTGAACTTTGTCCGTCTGCAAGGCAGTGTCCTTGCAAGCGGAAGCTCGCAGTGGAGGGCTCGACAAGCCAGTACAAAAACCTAGCGAAGTGATTATTCAAAATAAACTGTCCAATCGTGGCTTCTGGTGGCCTGCATTCACGGGCGACCCGACAACACGCGTACGTGTAACTGAGCTCAGCTTGAAATAGAGCAACTCCAGAATGAGTCCTTCCTTCATGTCAGCTTCTCCGTCAATGTCAAGCTTCAGTCAGACTGCTTTTCGGTGTTGTACTAACACGCCATGCCATGCTGATTCTGTCTAGGCAACTGGTGCCAAGCTATAGGACTTGCTTTCGATAGATGCTTAGACAGTTCAGACGTCAGTCTGCTGAAGCCATGTAGCCTAAAGCCTTTCTACGCCATGCTCGGGGCTCCATCTGATCTCCGCCGGTGGAGAGAAGAGGCTTCTGGTCGTTGCCTCCGGCGACATCTGCAGCGGCGATGCCCGGGGCCTGCTCGTGCGCGTACCCACTGCTGCATGCACAAGTTTATACATGATATAGCATTTGCTTTATCAGAGGATCTTTCTTGAGCTGCTGATCGCACAAACAGACTCTTTCCCTCTCACACACGGTCTCTCTAACAAGATATCCACATCGTCGCAACTGTGCGTGAAAGAGACTCTCTCTCCACGCGGACATCATGCGTCTGTACTTGGACGACTTCTGGACCCCTCCTAAAAGTGAAACTTTTAGAGTTTAGCAAATTTTGTATACTTCATGCAGAAACCAAAATAGTTAAAGTCGTAAGAGCCAACCAGAAGAACGCCAAGTGCACATATGTATGTGTAAATATGCCTATAATATACTACGACTACGATGTGTGCATGCACGTTTTGAAGTTGCCAAATGTGTGCAGACATGCGCAAGAGCAGATACGGAAAACAAGTGTAGGAGTTCCAATGCTGTCTTGTTCCAATGCTTGAGAACTCCGAACTTTTTCGAACCGCGTTTGTACAGTACAGCCAGCATCATCAATCCATGGAGTCCATGTATCAAAAGCTGTCTTCAGCGGTCGATTCAACGAGGCTCTTTCATGGAACCCGCCCGCGCACGCGCAACCCTAAACCCTAAACCCTAAAACCCTAAAACCCTAAACCGCCCCGGCCTCGAAGACTCCGCTGCTCCCGACCCGCCGGCGCTCCTCGGCCGTGAAGCGCCGGACGACGTCCTCCACGCAACGGGGCTAAGTCTAACCCAAAGGCTCCATGTACCCATATAGTAGATACTTAGGCCTTAAAGTACCTATATAGGGACCCCTTTAAGGCCTAAGTATCTACTATAAAGGTACATGGAGCCTTTGGGTAAGTCTTATGTCGTCGCCTGCAGACGGAGCTATGCCCAACGACGTTGGCATGTTAGGGTCAGGATCTGTACCGCGAATTGGTGGAAGTCTCGATTTGAAGAAGTTGGGCGGTGCAGCTCGATTCTTCGACCACCGTCACACAGACTTCGGGCCGGATTCGAGGTCAATTGCTAGCAGGCTGTTGGTCCAGCCGGACTTCAAGGTCCTCCAGCACGCGCGCGGTGATGGCCAAATTGTCCGAAAGCTTCTGGTACCTTGTCTCAAACTGAGCTCTGTAGTAGAGCTAGTGCTAACCAGTTTTCTAGATCCCGAAAGAACTTGTCGGTTGCCATGACACATCATCCGGCGGTTGTTGCGCTCGGCAGTGTTCTGCGCCTGGTGCTGGTGCTCCCGGATGCGGGCTAGGATCGCTTTGGTCTCTGAAGCCTGCGACAGGCAGCGCTTGCTTAGTCAGAGGCTTTTTGCTCGCCAAGGCTTTTAGAACTGCGACTGCGGACCACCATGCCGCTGTCACGGACGCTCGGCCTGGCGCACTGCATCATCCACCATCTTTCGGCAGTGTTGGAAGTCTTTCTCTGCCTGGATCAACCGACACTGCCATTGCAGACCCAAGGACGAGCGCACCAGAATGCAGATTGGGCTCGGATCCTTCCCGCATAAAACGAGCTCGAATGATGCCGTGAATCACTACATCGTGCTATAACATGTTTAGGATGTCACTACGTCTAGTACAGTAGAATACAACACAAGACATTTTACAAACACGCACACACACACACACACGGATGTTGTGGCATCCTGCAACGAGTACAACAGCAGCTGCGTGCATTGATGAAACGATGCAATGCCATTGTCAGCTATCTATCTGCTTGTACAACTTCTTGGCCTGAAAAGGCACGATTTCTAGGTGGTGCGCAAAAGCAGGAACTTTTTGCTATAGGGAAAGAACTTATTCCACTAAACTAATTAAATTATGTATCTAAACAATGCACATTCTGGAAAATAAATTGTGCACACGGTGCATGCTGACACTACCCATGGATGTAGGCAATTGTAAGCATGTCTGCTTGCCTGTCTATACATGGTACATGTCACATATGTGCCCGCATATCTGGTCCAGGCAAGTCACTTCCATGGTCCCTACTAGCCGAGAAATCTGCCCAGTCCTGAGCGCTGTAGTAGAACAGGGCTGCATGGGTCTCATGAGGCATCGATTCTATGGCCAACGTTTTTGCCCTCAGGGTCCCAGAAGAAAATCTGTTCAAGCTGCAGCAAACTTACTGTATAAGGAAGGCTGAGCAAAGGTGTCGACGAATTGCAGCTGTTTGAAGGCAAGGCTCAGGGTCTGGATCGAATGAGTGTTGTTCTGCACCTCCATCAGCGGCAAACTCTTCACGGTGGCTATGGGTGGCTTAACAGAATGGCTTTGGCTCAAACGGCTTCTCTTCTAACATCAAATCCCCGAGATCCACCCTTCAAAGAATGCTGTCCGAACGGAATTTCTCAGGCACGCTGGACAGGTCTGAGGTTGCGCAGGCCTGACTGTGAAGGGCCTGGCCACCATTTACTGACTTAGGATGTTGCGGTGTAGCTACCTTCTGTCAGGATCATCCGATTGTTAACACCTCCTTCGACCTGAGCGCTATAAATGTTGGGATTTCCTGCGTTGTCTCCCAAAACATGAAAGCGGCTGCCCCGGATAAGGCTTCATATCTCTGTCCGGACACCGCTTCAACATCCGAATAACGGGGGTGAAGGGTCTTGACTAGATCATCACCAGATTGCAACTGTTGCCATCTGGTTTGACCTGAGCCATTGCTTCTGACGAAAGACTCTGATGAACTTCTTCCACTGGGCTTAAGGGACTTGTTAGGTCCCTCGGCCACATGGGCCCCCCATGTGTTATTGGGATTTGAAGGGACTGTGATAAGGTCTACTCGGACGGACGATAATTACCGAGAAACATTGAATAAGATATAAAGGATTGTTCGTCCCCCGAGTGAGCATGCAGTACATGGACACCTAAACGAAAGTATCAAAGTGCTCTCTCTCTCTCTCTCTTTCTTTCGCCAGGGTTAGGGGCAAGGGGAAGCTCCCCTCGCCTCTCTCTCTCTCTCTCTCTCTCTGTGCTAAGTGTGTATACATATATATATATATATTATATGATTAACCTTCCATCGTCTGGAAATTGTTTCTTCGCACATTCTTTGATGCCGCTCGCGGATCCGCGGAACTTTCGCCCGACATGTTTAAACATTTCTAACAGCAGCAGCAGCATTTGCAGTAGCAGTAGTAGCAGTACAAGGGGTAGCTGTGTGTCGCCCCAGGGCGCGGGCAGTCGCGACACCGCATGGCCACGCGGTGAACGCGTGAAGTTACACCAGGGCGTGTGATGTCACACCACAAGCATAGCTGCACATCGCTTTCCCCATGGCCACGTTCTTCCTAGCACATTCCTGGCACAGACGTCGCAGCCCTGGAAAGTCTGCCAGGTTGGCAACGAATCACCATGTGCAAGCGCTTTCAGACATGTAGCAAGCGCCCGCTCAAGACACACATCATTGGCATTCTAGCGCACGAAGTCGTGAGGAAAAACCAGCCGTTGCCCATGTAGACACTCGTTTTCAGAGGCACCTGCTATCACCCGCTCAACACAAACAGCAGTACAATCACAGCACTTCAAAACCAGCCGTTCCCCAACTAGACGCTCGATTTCCCAAGCACCCGCTCGACACAGACATCACTGGCATCACAGCGCACGACAACCAGCCATTCCCCATGCACACTTTCGATTTCACAAGCACCCCCTCAAGACAATCAGTCGTAAAAGGCACGATTCAACTCTCTATTGGTCTTAAAACCTATTCACCCTTGTATTTCTCTAAAATGCCTATCGGACACCATACTTCAATCGAAGACCTAATCAACTCTGTATTTGCGGGTGTCTTCAGGAGGAATCAGGCTGACCGAGACCCCCT